GACCCCGGCACCTGCCCGCCCCTTTCCCCGCACCGCCGCCGCCCCCGGGCCCGCCAACGGCACCTGCCCGCCCCCTCCCCGCAGCACCGAACCCGCCCCGGGGCTGCGGTGACACCGGCCCGCACCGGGACACGGTCCAACCCCCCCCGCTTCCCCGCAGCCCCGCACAGGTGATGCATTACGCATCCCCGCATTCCCCTGTCGCATCCCCGGGGTGCCACCACGCTCCCCCCCTACACACATCGTACAGCCTGGGGGACACAGCCCAGAGCCTGTCACACACCGCGACCGGGGGGCACAGCCCCACAGCCCCTGCCTCACACTCCCGGCACACCGCCGTGCCCGGTTCTCCCCCGCACACGCACACAGTTCCCCCATGCCAGCCCAGGGGCACATGGCACCGCCGCTCTCCAGTGTCCCCTGCACGGGGGGCACATCCCCAGCTGTGGGGTGAGCCACCCCCGGACCCCTAGCCCAGCTCTCTGCACCCGCCGCAGCGTGGGAAAAGGCCGGGGGTGGGTGCGAGATCCCCCAGCCTGGCAGCCCTGGGGCTGGGCTGCCCCGCGGGCAGGGTGGGCAGGTCGGGGTGGCTGCCAGACCCCCCCACTTCCGCCGCCTGCCAGGCTGGAATGGGTCCCGGCGTGCCGGGGCAGGTGCCGGGGCAGGTTCTGGGGCAGGGCAGGGCCAGATGTGGCGCTTGCCTGGGGCTGATCCTCCTGCCCCGCTCCCGCGGGGCGCTGAGCACCCATCCTGCCCATGCCCACTGCCCCCAGCCCCATTTTGCACCCTCTGGACAGGCCAGCAGGTGCCAGTCCCCTTCTCCGGGTCCATCCCCCTGCAAAACAACGGCCCCGCGGCTGGGATGGCAGCAGCGGCCGGGGGGACACGGCAAGTGACCCCATGGCCTTTGCTGGGCCCCACTGCCCAGGGGGTTTGGGGAGAGATGGAGGAACGAGGGTCCCGGCAGTTCCCGCTTTGTTCCCGCTTCGCCTCCACCCGGCAGTTGCCTGGCAACTCCATCCGTGCGGCTGCCACAGAGCAGCAAAACACGTCCCCACATCCCCATCCCCGGCTGCATGAGGTCCTGTCGGGATGGCACGGCACGGTATGGCCCGGCACGCCCCTCCTCTGTTCCTCCAGCCTGCAGATACCCCACAGCCCATCCAACAGCCCCAAAAAAACCCACTCTGCTCTCGGCTGAGCTCTTCCATCCCCTTTCCCCACAGCATGAGGACAAGGGTTCTCAGATGTGGGTGCAAGTGGTGCTGCTGGCCAGGTTCAGCCACGCAGACAGGAGCTTCTCCTGACAGCAGGAGGGGAAACTGAGGCACAGAGAGACCCCCCCCCCCCCCCCAAGACCCCGCTCACTGGTGGCAATGGGGATGCACTGGGCCACACGAGCAGGAGGTACCTGGAGCACTGTGCCATGCTGAGGGCAACGCTCCCCCTGGGAAAGGTGCTCCAGATCTGGCCTGTCCCATCCCCTCTCCCCATGTCAGCAGGGACGGGGGCACTGCTGGCGCAGAGCAAACTATTGGCTTAATTAATTTTCTGTTATTTCTCCTAACGAGCTGGGATCTGGAGCGGGCGCTTCCCTCGGTTGGCAGGCAGCGCATTCCCCCGCCCCGGCAGTGAGCCGGGGGTGCGAAGCCTCCAGGCACTGCTCAAAACAGACCGTGTGTAGGAGGGAAAAATTACACCCCGGGAAAAATCCCTCCCCAAGCCAGCGCCTTAACCCACTTCCCAGCTGCAGCGCTGGGAGAAGGGAGTCAGGCATTTGGGGAAGGGGAGAACCACCATGAGATTGGGGCAGCTCCTCCATGAGGTCCCTGCGAAGGGCTGAGCCAAGTCCTGGAGTATGCTCAGACCTGATCCTGCTTCCAGGGAGGGAAACTGAGGCAGTGGCACTGGGGAGGGATGGGGTAGCACAGCAATGTGGGCAGGAAGGTGATGCCTCCTGCTGCTGCTGCTGCTGTTGGAATTGCTGTGGGTCCCCCACACTACTGCCAGAAGTGAGAACAGAAATTGGGGAGACCTGAAGGGAAGGGAGGAAAAAGGTTGTGGGATGCAAAGGAAGGAGTTGGGGTCCCCCTGCCACTCAAAGCCACCCAGCCACCATGGCACAGGCAGGGCCCAGCAGCATCCTTCCCCTGCCAAGCCTGCATGCAGGAGGGCAGAGCTCACTGTGATGCTCCATCCGCAGGATCAGGGTGTAACAGGAGGGGGGTGTGTGCCCCCACCTCTCTTTGGTGTGGGAGGGGGCTGGCAGGAGGCTGCGGCTGCCGAGGCGGAGGCAGCGCGGCACAAACGCGCGGGCGGCAGCTCCTGCACCACCAACACAACAGTTGGTCCTTCCCCGTGAGCCAGGGAGGCTGGGGGAGAGGAGGGGGCTCCCATCAGCCCCCAGAGAGACAAGGGGCTCCCTCAGCCCCGCTACTGGGCAGAGCTGGGCTGGGGATGGGTGGCAGCTGCTTTCAGGGATGTGGGGGTGAGGGCGGCTGGTGCCAGGCACAGCAGAGCTGCAGTTTCAGTCCCACTGTCTGAGAAGGGCAGAGCTGTACCAAGGAAGAGCACAGTGGCTCCTGGGAAGGGAGAATGGCCCCTGGGGAGGGAGCAGTTCCTGGGGGACAGCAGAGGTGGCACTGGTCCTGCCAGGGAAGCTCAGGTGGATGCTGTCCCTGTGGGTGTCAGCCCCGGAAAGGACACACAAGAGCTGTCTGCTTCCTACAACTCTGTTAGGGATGTGCATCCCACAGGATAGGAATCCAAATAACACCAAACCCCCGGGATGGAGGTGTAAGGTCCAGGATTTCAGTTGTGTGACCAATGCAGCAATGACACACGGTGACATCTAAAACATGAGGGGATTGTGCTTTGGTGGCTGAAACAAGACACAAAAGGTCATGGAGTCACAAACATCACACAAAGAAGGAATTTCTGCTGGAGAGCCAGGCATGGATGAGGGATCCACACAGAGAATGAGCAGGTGGGTGCTGGTCCCTCATCCTGGCCACAGATGGGGACAGGGTGGCCGAGCCACCTCTCGCTCGGTGACGTCCCCCTGAGGCAGTGCCTGCGCCGGCAGCTGGCGCGTCCCCACGGCGTCCCGGCACGTGCTCAGGAGAGCAGCAGGAACCGGCAGGAACGGGCAGGAACCAGCAGCCGGCCCTGCCAAGTTTCCTAACGCAATTTGCAAACGGCTGCGAGGACGTGGCCAAGCCGGAGCCGGAGCGGCGGGGCTGCTGGGATGCGGGATGCAGAGCGGCAGCACTGCGGCACACCAGAGCCAGCCGGGACCAGCGCGGCACAGCTGCGGTGACACTCACCCCGTGGGGTCAGGAATCCCAAAGGGGACACACAAGGCTGCTGTGAGGAAGCGAGGCAGGAGCTGGAGTAGGGCTGAGGCGCTTCCTTGTGAGGCCGGAGCCCAGCCCGGTGCGTTGGGGCGGGTTCCAAAACCCTCCGCAGCCCCAGCAGCAACACCCAAGTGCTGGGAGCAAACCTGGCCCTGCCGAGCTGGTTTGGGTGCTGGCTGGGCTGCTCGGGCAGCGTCGGGGTGCTGGGTGCCCACAAGCCTCCTCCTCTCTCTGAGGGAGGGTGGAAACCTCCCCTTGCGCTGCTGGGGGTGGCAGGGATGGGGGTCGCCCTGTGCATTCCCCCCTGAGAGCTCAGAAACACCAGTTACCAACAGTTTGCTGGGAAAAGAATCAGGAGGAGCTCCTAAGTTAAGTGGTTCCTGCCCAGGCAGTGCATTCCTGACAGCTTCCCACGGTTCCATCGCCCTTCCCCTGCTCCAGAAGTGGCAGAAATCAACTTGCTAATTGAAAAGAGGATTGAAAAGAAGAATGAACTGGGGTGGGGGGGATGTCACTGCTGCTTACCCAAACAAATAAAAACGAAATACCCAAAAGAAACAAATCAGCTTTACTGAAGGAGCTGCTTCATTCCTTAAATAAAAACAGAGACCACGATCAAGCCAGCGGAGTTTGACATCCCAGGAGGGAGAGGGGGACGTTTAGTAATGGGGAGAAGTTGGGAGAAGTGGCCAAGGACCGACTCAGGGGTTGGTTCTTTGGCGGCCCCAGCTCGGGGGAGAAGGGGGGTGGGCAGCAGCGAGATGGATTTTGGGAAGGCACCACTCAGGCCATGGGGGAAGTGCCTGGTCCTGAGCACAGTGCAGGTGGCTCATCCTGCTGCCTCACCTCCACGCAGGGAAGGAGCCATTCCAAGGAGCAGCTTCCTCCTTGCCAAGGGGCCGAGTCTGGTGCTGGGATTCCTGTGGCCGTGTCCCTACGTGTTGCTCCTCTCCTTTGATTTTTCACCTTTGCTGTCCTGGGAGGGGAGAAAGAGGGAAGAGCAGCAGAGGTTTAGGGCCCCCCAAACCCCTGCATGGGGGGAACAGTGTTATGGCTGGGTATGGCCAGCAAGAGCCCACCCTGGTTGGCAACCCCCCACACCCTCCTCTCTGGGCACAACCAGCCCCCTGTGCCAACCTCTCCTCATGGTTCCAGATTTTTCCACCACGAGGCCTTTCCAGAGCCCCTCCATCTGACAATTTGCTTCTCAGCCCTCCCCATGTACAGGAACCCACCAGCACATGCCTGCCCGGGTCTGGGCTTGCTTGGCTCCCATACATGAAGAAGGTATGGAAAGGGAAACCAAAAACACACATGGCATTCCAGCACGCTCACACATGCACAGCTCACAGCACTGGAGCAAGGAGATCATTCCCAGCACAGGGAAACATCCTGAAAAACCTTTAACTCTACTGCCTGTATTATCTGCTGAGTTTTCAGTGTTTATCCTTGCAGAGAACTCCCTGCCTCCTAGCTCCTCCAGCCAGGGCTGGATTTTTCCCTCTCAAAATTGTCCTGTTTTCTACCCTGAGCAAATAAAATAAAAAAAG